CACCTGGCACATAGGAAGACCTTATTAATGTTTGTTGGCTGACTGACTGATTGCCACTTCCCACTGCTGCTCCCACTTATGAAGCCTCAACTGCTGACTTTCCCCTCCCACTGCTCTTCCTAGTCACTTAGTAGACTGTCGTTATTGTACTGGGCTTCTTTATCTGTAAACCCAGGCCCTGTAAACACAGAGAAGTATTTATAAAGGGTGTTTTACTCATCAGGACTAGGGGCCCTGAATATAAGTCCCTATTGTTTTCTCATTATTACTTCAATATTTCAAAAGGGGTAGCAGGGTACCACAGGAAAGTGCTGAATTTGGAGTGAGTGAATCTGGGTTCAAATCCCAGGACTGCCATTTATTACCTATATTACTTTGGCCCAGGCACTTAACCTCTCTTGGTCTCATTTTCCTCAATTGTAAAAAAAAAAAGGAAGGGGATTGTATTAGATGTCTTCTAAGGCCCTTTCCAGCTCTAAATCCAGGGTCCTAAGGTAAGATTGAGTTCCTCAGTTAATAATTACAAAGATTTAAGTCCAAGGATAGTCATACTTGATCAAGTTTTTAATGTGTGAACAAGGTGATGATCTCTTTATAGGTATGAATTCCTGTCAAACAAGCTAACAACACTTCTGAAGCCTTTAAATAGGAGAAATTTCAGTAGCTGGCTCAGTTCAGCAATGAAGTAGTCAAACAGTGGAGGACTCCAGGCATAGGATCACCTTGAGGTGGTAGACCCTTGTGACTGTACCAATCAGCAATGTCAATGAGTGTGACCCCTTCTGCCAGAGAAAAATGTTAGGACCTTGCATTTTCAGGAAGCTAATTTAGAAGGAATGTTTTATATCAACTATTCTCGATGGCTAAGTGGTGCTATGGATTACTGGAGTGGAGTACTGAGCATGGAGTCAGGAAGATTGTGATGGTGAGAGTCAAATAAGATATTATTTGTAAATTGATAGCATAGTGCCTGGCACTATATAGATGTTTATTCCCTTTCTTTCTCCTTTCCCTGTCCCCATGCTATCTGATTAAATACCTTTGCTAAAAACTAATTAAGCCTACTGGCTGATTGTTAATGGGAAGCACAATGAGGGCTCATGAGCACTATAGAATTCTTAGTAGGGTAGTAGTTAATCTTCCTCTGGTGACTCAACCTTCAGTGTGCGTTGGTGAAGTGACCATGGAGGGGAGTGATAGGTTCACTTTGATCACTGATTTTATCAGTGCTAATAATCCCTTCACTAATACAGAGCATACCCCACTGCCTTGAGAGGCAGGGCTGAAAAGTACACATACACTGGTCTTGGAGCAGGAAGAACTAAGCTGACATCTTGCTTTAGATGCCTAGCTATGTGATCTTGGTCAATCCATTTAACCTCACTGATCCTCATTTTTCTCAACTGTAAAATGGGGATAATAATAACACCTCACAGGGTTGCTGTGAGGATCAAAAGAAATAGAGCATTAAAGAGCTCTATAAATGTGAGCTGATAGTAACAGTAATAATAATAGACATAGTCCTAATTATTCAATAAATAGATGATACCCTGGCCTTTGGTTTGACGAATTGTTTCTCGGAACCAAAAGTAAATTGATTCCTCCTGAATCAACCTAAAATCGGAGACTTAGAAGGTGACGCCTTTGTAATACTGTGTCAGGAGCTAAAAGGGATCCTGGCAGTCATGTAATATTTCTGTCTCAGAGTGGTCAAAGGACTTGATCAAGGTCACTTCTGTAGCCAGGAGTCAAACTCATGTCCTTTGACAATGTTTATGCCACAATACTGTGAATCCTCTATAAGTGCCATTAAAATACACACACAGACACACACACACACACACACACACACACACACACATTCACAGTGTTTATTTCAGCTTTTGCTAGGTTCACACAGAATTTTATTAAACTGTTGACATCTAAATTCCTATGATTTCCAAAGATGAAATTCTACCCCTACAAGCATTTCCATATTAAGCATTCCACACTGGGTTTGGGGATGGGTGGGTGGAGTGAGGGGGATGAAGGGGGGAGAATTCCCATTCATAGCCTTCTAAGAGATTCTAGAGCTCTGGAGACTTCTCACGACCTCAGGCAAACCAGGCCCCCAGGGAAAGAACCTAAGTGCTTGGACCGAAGTGTGTAAGGGAAAGGGCTTCCACCCCAATCACCAAGCAGCCCACAGAGTTCACAACACTTCCTGCCCCGGGTCTGAGCTTCAAACTGCATCAGGAAACCAAGTGTATTAAATGAAATGTTTCTGGCTCAGCTGAGCCTTCCTTTAAAATAGTCACATTATCTATAACATTGGTGACAACAAGAAATGAAAGAAATTGGACATTAATTTACTCCCTGAAAAGCATTGAAAAGAATACAGAGTGAACAGATGTTTCCTTTCTGAGGCATTTGGGGGCCTGGGAATGAAAGGCAAAGGGAACCAAGTAGAAGGATGAAGGTGGTTCCCCTAACTGGCACTTTGGATTTCGAAATCCTACAATCCTAGATTTAGAGCTGCAAGGGAGCTATTGAATCTAATTTCCACTGCTGTAAAGATGAGGAAATGGAGAACGAGAGAGGGTAAGGGACTTGACCTGGGTCACATAGCTAGTAAGTGTTTCAGGCAGAATTTGAACCCAGGCCTTCTGGATTCGAGTCCAGCACTTTGCCACCTACATGTTCTGGTTGTCCTTGCTGATTTGGGGATGAAAAGAGGTAGGTGACAGCAATTATGACTTTTGTCCTTATTTTATTTCATCTTATTAGATTTGGACTAATGCTAGCCAGTTGAGATTTTTTTTTTTGGAGCGTTTATTCTGTTATCCACCACATTGAATATTCCTCTCAAATTTGTGTCATCTACAAATTCGATGAGTATTTCATTAATACCTTCACCCAAATCATTGACAAAAATGTTGAACACAGGGCCAAGTACAGTTACCTAGAAGGCTCTGCTAGAGATGTCAATTATAGCCTTGTTTTGTTTATTATTTTGTTGCAGTTACTGACTTATTTAGCATAAAATGCTCATGTTCATGTAGGGTAAGTTGGGAATCAGCTCTCAGCTGGGTTTCCATTGTATTTCTCACTATGGACAATCTCTGTGACCATGCAGCGCCTTTCATCAAATACATATGTTAGACTGAAGTTCTATCTTAGACTGGCTGACATTATTTTGGAGTCAATGTTCTTAACTATTCTTGGTAATATTTTAATGGTCAACTATCACTTTCTTACCTTCTAACCACATGGAATGGGGGTCAGAGAACTTGCCCTTCCCTCCTACTAAAAGCAAAATAAGAGATCTTGGAGAAGTGAGCAACCATGAATGTGCAAAGGAAAAAGTTCAGCTATGTACCCAAGGCTCTGAGGACTCACAGCGACTCAGGATTCCTATGAAGTATTAGTGTCAGGGGGCAAGGGAAAGAACATTTGTGACTTACCTATCATGTGCTAGGCACTGTGCTAAGCATTTTTCTAATATCATCTCATTTGAGCCTTATAGCAGTCCTGGGAGGTAGGTGTTATTATTAATCTCCATTTTACAGTTTAAGAAACTGAAGCAGACAGTCCAGGGTCACATAGCTAGTAAGTGTCTGAGGCTGGATTTGAACTCAGGTCTTCCTGATTCCAGGCCCAGCATGCCACCTAGATGCTTCTGGATACAGATATAGCAGGAGTAATAATTGATGCTGGTATTAGGAAGGTCTGGTGGCAGAGCTGAGCTTCCAGACATATGAGTTCCCAAGGTGAGAGATAATTCTGTAAGACAGAGTTGATATGGAGAAAAGTATGGAGTGGAAGAGAGAGTAGTAGTAGTAGTAATTATAGTAGTAGTGGTAGTGGTGGTGGTGGAGGTGATGATGGTGGTAGTAGTCATAGTAACAGCAGCCTTTTGTGAGGGAGTAAGTGACCAGAAACTCAGGAGCCCATGAAGTTAAATATGGATTAGGAGTTAAGTAGGAGGCGGAAAGAGTAGGGATGTTATAGGTCATATCCCTGGATTAAGGAGTGGGGTTTCTGTAAGGATCTTCATTTTTTGAAACTGATCTGTGTCTTTAAAGTATTCTTCTTTCTCCCCTCACCCCAACACCCCTAGGGAAACTGAGGAGGAGGCTATATTGGCAGCTTAATGCTGATAGATTGCTAGACTTGGAGTGAAGACCTGAATCCAGTCCTGCCGCAGACACTAGCTATATTACTCTGAGCAAGTCCCCTAACTTTTCTCATTCTCAATTTCTTCATCTATGAAATGAAAAGGGCTCAAAGGCCCTTTCAAGTCCCTTCTACCTCTAAATCTAAAATCCTATGGCTACAATCTCTCTCTCTCTCTCTCTCTCTCTCTCTCTTTCTTTCTCTCTGTCTCTCTCTGTCTCTCTCTCTGTCTCTCTCTCTGATTTGAAATTGGGAAATTTGACATGGTCTTATGTCAGGGTCCAGCTGTGCCCATAGACTATATCCTAACTGTAGGCTTATTATATCTTTAAGGTAACTTTTAAATTAAACTTTTTATTCTCAATTTATGAAAGCCATTTTTGATAGGTTTGTATTTTTGACTGATTGAGATATTTTCCTCAAAGTTGAGATATTTTCCTCAAAGTCTATCTGCTTTCTAGCCCCTTTATTAAATGTCTCTCTTGAAAACAATTTCTAAATCAATGAGGTTCAACATCCCTAAAGCATCCTATTATCCACAGCTCCTAGCTGGGAGGCAGATGGGGTCAGTTGTAACTCAGAATTCCTTCCCAGAGGGTTATGATGGCCATTTTGTGACTAACAACTGGGTTTATCTTTAGAAGTCACAGAAATATTTATTAGCAAAATTGTTGTCATAAGGAAGTATATAAAAAGTGGTTTAATATTAGTAGGTCATTTTTGAATTTTAATAGTTTATTGGTGCCTTTGTCTTCCACCTGCTCATGCTACTTAACTGACCCATATTCTTTCCCAAAATGTGTCTCTCTGATTATATGCCCCTTTATGCCACTTTTCCTCTGCAGTTCATCAATGGTAATATGTTGTAGCCTCCTCATATATACAACTCTGTTGTCATTTGGGTGACCCTGTAATTCCATTCCATGGAGATGTCAAGAGATCTGGAAGAAGGCCATGTTGAATGGACCTCCAAAAGGATTAATACAAGGTAAAAATGTACAGAAGTTAAGTGACTTACCCAAGGTCACTCAGCTAGTAAGGATCAGAAGTTGGGTTTAGAACCCACTTCTTCCTCACTCAAAGTCAGTCAGTCAATAAACATTTATTAAGTACCTACTGTGTGCCTGAAGCTGTACTATAGGTTGGAGATACAAAAAGAGGCAAAAGATAATCCCTGCCCTCAAGGAGCTAACAGTCTGATGGGGGAGAAAACAAGCCAACAGATATGTACAAATAAGATATATGCAGGTCAGATAGGGAATAACTAAGAGAGGGAAGTCCCTAGAATTAAGAGGAGTTCTTCTTGTAGAAAATAGGATTTTAGTTGGGACTTAAAGGAAGCCTGGGAGGCAGAGATGAGGGAGAGCATTTGAGGGATGGTGACAGCCAGAGAAAAGACTCAGAGCTGAGACATGGAGTGTCTTATTTGAGGGATAGCAAAGTGGCCAGTGTCACTGGACTGAAGAATTCATAGCAGAGAGTAGGAATAAGAAGGCTGGAAAGGTGGTGGTGGTGGTGGTGGTGGTGGTGGTAGGGACTAGGTTATAGAGGGCTTTGAATGCCAAATAAACAATTTTGCGTTCGATCCTGGAGGCAATAGGGAGCCTGGGTTTAGTGAGTAGGAGAGTGACATGGTTAGTCTGGTGCTTTAGGAAAATCAAAGGGCAGCTCTGTATCCATCCCTCTATATTGTCTTACTAGGGTAGGGGTGGGGAACCCTGAAAGTTTTTCCTGGTATTTAGTAAGTAAAAATTGACTGATTGAAGTAGAGAGTTATGATAATTAGGATAATTCTTATCCAATTCTTATCTTTGAGGGACAAAGATGAGTTTTTTCTCTGAATTACCTAAAGCAAAATTCACAAAACAAGAGCATCTTTCTATTAAATCATATAATTATAAAGATGTGATCTACTATGGAATATCATCTTTGAAATTCTGTCTGTTTTCTTCTCATCTTCTTCAAGGATGACTTTGATATTGGTCAAGTATTCTCATAAAGATTTTATAGAAATGGGAAAGGAAGTATATGAGGAAATAGTTACGGATATTTTTGCAGATATCTTTTTTTAAGTGGTTGAGTGGAGTAATATAAGTCCTTCCTTCTCCCCCAAAAGCATTTAGTTTCCTATCCTCTTCAGATAGCTTCAGTACCCTCAAAACTGTGCTTCCTCCAGAACAGACCAACTTTGTGTATTCTTGATATGGTCCAGTTACTCTTTGCATCTTTATTTTATTTCTTGCCCTTTCTACTTCCTCATGTAGTACACCAGGGACCTTAAAGTTCGAGTCTAAATGTGGTGGCTCCACTATCATTGATGGACAAGAGTTTATTACAGAAATCTTTGCAGTTCTTTCTTTCACCAAATTTTCTTTAAGTTGGTTTTCCTTTTATTTCCTTTCACACATATAATCTTCTACAATCTACCTCTGTAAGATTTTACAGATGACTTCATATTCTAAATCAGTATTGCCTTGGCTTTTTCTTTATCTCTTTACTTGACCAGAAGCCAAGTGTTTGCTGACTGGGACACTTTTTAGGTTCTCTTGGTCTTATTATGGCAAATGGTTTATATATTTTATCCAAACTTTGATTGGAAATTATAATGATTTTGGTTTATGTCTTCTCTTCCACACATTTCTCATTTTTGAGTCATCAATAACATGTTTAATTTGGTCAAGTTGGAGTTGTTTTAGTTGTATTAATTATCTTTTCTCATTGTTATTCTTTCTAGCTTATATTCATTTGCATCTTTGTCCAAGAAGTCTGGGTCCTGACTATACACAGACAGCTGACTCAGGAGTGCCTTCCACTTAAGTAATGAGTCATTTCCTGCTGGTTCATTTTATTTTTTTATGATGCTATATAGTGCTCACCATGTCTGGGATCTTCTAATTCTTTTCTTGGGGATGGTATTCTTGATGCAAAGGCATGAGACTTCTCTATAGTTTGTAAGTCTTTGGCCTCTCCCATTTCCTGCTTCTTGAACCATATTGCAACATGATTTTTTTTTTGCTATCTTCTCCTTTGTTCCCTTTGACCTTTTCACTGAAGTCTCAAAGCATACATTGATTAAATTGGAGAATCTCACTAAAGTCTTTGTAGACTTTCCTTTACCTCAACTTTAGGTTCTGCAATAGATTTTGTTGAATAAGCCTTGCTTGTTTTCATTGTAGTCTTGTTTGCAAACACTTGTCACAAGAACTGCATTTATTAGATGGCCAAATGGTCTGTGAAAGGGTGTTCTTTGTAGTCTTTGGATACATAATAAAACCAAGTCAGTCTTTGCATTTGTGTATTTACATCTCCAAAGAGAACTTGTGAGCCATCCTTCAATTTAGTTGTGATTTCCTTTAGTCTTTTTGTTTATTTATAGTAAGAATGTCAAGATTTATGTGCTTCAATTCTTCTTGTAATATGTCCCCTCACTGATTATAGAACAAAGATCTCACATTTATAGTACTAACAGCTATTAATATTTATAGATGGTCTAAAATGGATTCTTAGCACACTCTGTTCCTTTTTTTTTTTTGTCATCATGCCATCATCACACAAAAGCCCTAGAAGTATGAATAGGACTAAGGAACACTTTCTATTTTTGTTTCATGAGTTGCCATGCCCAAGGAATTAATCATCCAATGACCAGCCTACTGGTGGTGAAACTCTGTATTAGCTAGGTTGGTGCTTGGAAAGCAGAATTAAATCTATTTCTGTAGCTATGCTTTTGCACAAATAAAGCCAATGGAGCTAGAATTAGAATAAAATATATGGAATTGGGGGAAAGCCTTTGCATAAAATCACTGATAATAGTCGATGTCCAAATCGATAGGGAATTGATACAGATATTCAGTATTAAGAACCATTTCCCAATAAATAATTACTTGACTCATTTAAATAATTTTAAAAGGAAGAAATAAAATCAACACTTGAAATACTTTTAAATCACTGATAATAAGAGAAATTGCAAGTAAAAACAATCCTAGGGTGTCTATCTTGTGCTCCTCAAGGTAGTAAATATGCTCTAAGGTGGGAAATCTCATTGGAAGAACTATAGGAAGACAACTGCCCTAACTCACCATTGGTGGAGAATTAGTTTAACTATTAAAGTTACTAAATTGTTCATATACTTCGACCTAATAGCATTACTAGGCATATATCCAAAGCATATTGACAGCAAGAAAAGATATATAATTTAGGAAAAATGTTCATAGCAGTGAACTTATTTGTGGTTAAGGGACATGCCTTTCCTGATGAATTCCCAGAAGGCTTTTTTTGGTTATAGTTTTTTTTTTTTTTAATATTGAACTAGTTCTCTCTCTCTCTCTCTCTCTCTCTCTCTCTCTCTCTCTGTCTCTTTCTCTTTTTCTCTCCTTTCCCTCTCCCTTTCCCCCTCTCTCCTTTCTATCCTGCCCAGGCTGGAAGTGTGAGGGACTGTCTGATGTTGGCAGCTACCAGGTTGGGTACTGTGGCAAGGGTAAGGTAAGATCTGGGTATTTTGGAAGTCGAGGCAGGGGCTGTGGTAGGCAGAGTCGTGTGTACTGGGATGGGCTGGATACGGAGAAGCCCTGAGGCAATTGGGCAGTGCTCTGTGACATAAGCTGGGTACAAGGAAGTAGTCGGAGCCTCAGTTCCTGAGGCAAGGGGCGGTGCCATGTGGGAGTGGGATGGCAGAGGACTGAGTTCCCTCTGCTTAGTCCCCTCCCTATATGCAACGTCATCCCCAGATGCCTCTTGTGACTTTCCTGACTTCCTTGGTCCCTTTGTGCAGCACTGACCCAGTCCCCTCCTGAGTCTGACTTCCTAGGTCACGTACTCTTGTCTATGCGTCAATCCCAGATGCCTCCTTCCTGTATCCAATCCTAGCCTCCTACGTCACTCCCTCCCCCTTGGTGTGCTAAGCTCAGACAGCCCCTTCCGGTATCTGACCCTACAATCATTGGCTAGTAGCGGGCTGGGGAGGAGGGGCTAGGTAGGTACTTAGGAACAAGCGTGGTCAGATCACACGCGTGCGCTCTCCCCTGGCTCCTGCCCTGTTGCTCTGGCCTTGCTGCTTGGGCTTGCTATGATGGTTTGCTGTGTTGGCCTCTGAATAAAGCTCTGGTGTTGGTGCCTCCCGATGGCTCGTCTCTGTGTGGTGATCCGGCTCAGAACCGAAGACCCAGGTGTGGGTAAGACTCTGGTAGTGTGCTTCTTATAAGAGAAGTAGGTACTGGCGCATGGCTGGCAGAAGGTCGGCGTGCGGCCCGTATATGGAAGTGCAGGGGTTACTCAGGTACTCGTTTTGCTTCTCCTTAGGTCACCTAGTGGTCCGTTGCTCCCTGGTATAATTTTTACCTGGTCATTGGTACAAACTCTGTTAATATTTCAATAATTTTTTTATATTACTATTCATATTTATCAATTTTAATCTGAGTTATCTCTTACTGGTTTAGGTATCAATATCATATTTGGTAAAATAACTTCTCTTGCTATTTTTTATAAATAATTAATATAATATTAATATTAATTGTTCCTTGAATGTTTGATAAAATTTACTTGTAAATATATCTGGTCTTTTTTTCATTTTGGAAATTCATTAATGGCTCAGTCAATTTCTTTTTCTGAGCCTGGATTAATTAAATTCTCTATTTTTTCTTACCGTCAATCTGGATTTTTTATATTTCGTAGATATTTACCCATTTAATTTAAATCACCACTTTTTGTGGAATATAGTTTGGCAAAAATAATTTCTAATAATTTTTTATTTCTTCTTAATTTATTGTGATTTCACCTTTTTCATTTTATAACAGCAGTGTTTTTCCTATTGTTTTTTAAAAATCAGACTGGTTAATGATTTCTCTATTTTCTTTGTTAAAAAATGTTGTTAGTTTTGTCTATCAATTCAGTGTTTTGGATTGTCACATTGTTGTTACTTCCTTTGATGAAATTTTCTATTGTTTCTATGATTTGTTCTTTAAGATTAAATTACTTAGTGTCTAATTAATTTTA